CAGGGGGAGAGAAGGCAGTTAAGACACATACACACACAAAAAAGCTAGGGTCTCACTGTTGATATCCATGGGTGGTTGGTAGTGGGCTTGGATGAGGTGGGAACCTTGAGCAGAAATGCATTACGAAAAATGCTGGTAGTGGAAGAGATTCTTCAGTGAAATGAGGAGACGAAAATGTATTCCAGATACTCTAAAGAGGTAGAATGAGCATACAGTTCATAGAAATTTGATGAACAGAGGCTCAAGGAGGTTGCACAAAGCTTATGAACACAGACATAAAGGTTTAAAGCAAGGTAGCTGCTGGACTCATCTGCTGAAGGAGCTCGGTCAGAAGCTACATCAGTGGAGAAACCGGAGATATGTTTGAACAAAGGCTGAATGTAGTGATAAAATATGGTGGGGAAGAAGAATAGGGGGCCTAAACCAAAGTCATGAGTCAGTGAGGGGAAATCATGTGGCTGAGAGATGATGTAGGAAGGATGAGCTGAGATATAAAAAGATACGGGAGACAGTGTGGGGGGGTTGGTAGGAGTGGCCAGGTGGGCAAGAACCGACCTTCTTCAGTTTCACATAAAGGCTAGTGTAATGAAACTCTTTATGGTGCAAATGATAATAAATGGTAATAAAATCAGGGGGAGAGAAGGCAGTTAAGACACGTACACACACACACACAAAAAAAAGTAGAGTCTCACTGTTGATATCCATGGGTAGTTGATAGTGGGCTTGGATGAGGTGGGAACCTTGAGCAGAAATGCATTACAAAAAATGCTGTTAGTGGAAGAGATTCTTCAGTGAAATGAGGAGACAAAAATGTATTCCAGATACTCTAAAGAGGTAGAATGAGCATACAGTTCATAGAAATTTGATGAACAGAGGCTCAAGGAGGTTGCACAAAGCTTATGAACACAGACATAAAGGTTTAAAGCAAGGTAGCTGCTGGACTCATCTGCTGAAGGAGCTCGGTCAGAAGCTACATCAGTGGAGAAACCGGAGATATGTTTGAACAAAGGCTGAATGTAGTGATAAAATATGGTGGGGAAGAAGAATAGGGGGCCTAAACCAAAGTCATGAGTCAGTGAGGGGAAATCATGTGGCTGAGAGATGATGTAGGAAGGATGAGCTGAGATATAAAAAGATACGGGAGACAGTGTGGGGGGGTTGGTAGGAGTGGAAGGGGATATGTTATAATCAGCAAAACAGAGTTTCAGGGTTCAGCCTTTGTCTGTTGATCAGAGTGATATTTTTATGGTAAACCAGGAACTCCTAGACAAAGCAATAAGTAATAGGAATACAAAAGAAAAAAAAATAAAAAAGGAGGGGAGGCTGGTTAAAAACCACTGGGGCAGGAGCGAGAGGCAGCACGAGCAGGCTCCTCTGCAGTGATAGAAATCATACTGCTGAAATATGAGGGCAAAGAGTCTGCCAAAAGCAGGGGAGCTGCTGCCTCAGCAGTAAATGAAGAGTAACTAGCAGTGGGAGGAGGTGGGAGCAGAACTGACCTGGAGGTTTCACTGAGGGTTAATAGG